TCAATAAAATTAGTTATGCTATGACCCTTTTACTCCATGTAAATCCAGACAATTTCCTTATTACGGAAATGTGGTGTGAATCAACTATGTCTGATCACTCCTTAAATGTAGACAAATGTTTTTATTTCGATACGACAGACGCCATACAATGTGAGGCGGTACAACTAATAATGTCCATTTGAACGCTCAAGCATGTAAATTTAAAAATGACTATCTTGACACTATAAGTGACTTGACAAAATTATCTACTGATGTGATGGATATACAAACTACCCCATGCGGGTACCAACTATAATAAATTGTTGACAAATATATTTTTCGTTGTTTCGCGTCAATCACACACGTGAGCTTAATCTACTAAGCATTACATGGAATTCAGCTTTGGTACTAGGACGACATAAAAATTTATTTGAAAAGACATAACTTTGCGAATGGATCCTACAGGTTTGAAAGCCGATTAGAAGGAATAATATACTTGACCTAATGTTTACAATTAACATCTACCTGGCCACAATTCACGTCAGTCATGAACTGTTCATGGGTGATTGTAAAGTCGTAGTGGGAATATTTCAGTCTCCAAACACTGTACTAACAAACTATCAGGCGGTAACACAGTACGAGAGCTGGTAGATTGATCAGCAAGCAAATGAGGGCACTGGAATTCTTATTCGATGCTTACCATGGTAATAATACTTCTTTACAGATAACATTGACACTGCGCTCTCCTCAAGTAAAGTGCTCTATGTGAATCTGTAATCCCATTGAGCCCTAATACGAGACAATGTGTGAAAAGACATTTAACACGGAGAAAAACCCGACGATGAAGAGGGCAGGAAGAATAAGTTGAATTAATTGGAGTTGATCGAATGTTATGGCTCAGACCTGCAGGCGTCGTCCTTGTTGAATGTTATCTTGTATCTTTTATTCATATTAAACATATTGTTCTTTCTCTGGCCTTAGCCTGTTCTACATCATGTAATGATGATTGTTACAATACGATGAGTTGGTGTAGACGATGGCATGACTTCTACGTAAGATCTTATAAATTAGGCAGTTATATCATGACACGTCTGCAATTTTAGGACTAGGTCTGTTATTAGGGCAATACTAACATCATAGTAGACTGTGGGGCCAGCGAAATGTCACTAAGTCCTAGCCAAATCATCCGGCAGTTGGGTCATTGAATATCGCGCAAATCATCGATCCTCATAAAGGTCAGGGATAACCAACGCGCATCAGTTAGTCGTATGCCATGGACTGGCCCATGCGGTAGTGATCTTACTTTCGTTTGTATTTACTTTAACCAATATATTTCTGTAATGACGTCCTCTATGTTGTACAGTCTTTAAAGCATCTATGGTACCCTGATACGTCGATGGGTAGTCCACGTAAGGTGCTGACCACGAGGTGTGACTTCGACGTTAGCTAGTTTGTCACACCATTCACTTCTAACTGGAGTAAGCCTCCAATCAATTCGACATGGATCATCTACGTTGGTGATCTACAAGACCATTATTCCACAACTCTCCAGTTGGCAAGGTAACCTCAGGATAAAGAAAAATAACATACTATATAGGAGACCTTTAGTCTGAAGTAAAAAGATTAAAAAGTAAACAAAATATGTTCGAGTATTTTTGTGGGTATATTGAGTGCACCATGAAAGTCACTTTTGGTAAAGATAAAAGTGGCACATTCTAGTGATTATTTCAAAAGGCGGTTAGATATTTTCTTTAATTCCGTTGATATTCAGTAAGACTGCCCTTGAGACTACTCCTCAACTACTTCTTCTACTATCAACTGTTTTTTTTTGGGATCCTTTTGGAAGCTTTTGTGGATGTATTTTAAAATCCCTTCATGTATATACTATTTTAATGTAATTTGTTACTTTGATCTCATATATGAGGTTATATTTCACAGTCCCTCCGGCTGTGCATTATGCTGATCTACAGATCCCACATGAAACAATTGTAATTTACGTTTTATTGTAGTTTTCATTTTTCTTACGTTTCTACTGAATACTATGATTTTGTTGTACTAAACCCATGCAGTTTTACTTGACGCTTTGGTTGTGACGGATTCCGTAATGATTTGTTCCTCTTTTGGTTGTGTTGCTTGAACTACATAGAATTATGCATTGTTGCTTATAAATTGAAGCAGGCTTACAGAACTGAAAACGATGAGCATTGTAACAGGCAATTCCTGATATGGGCTATCAAGAACAGAAGGAAATCGTGGAAGGTGCAGAGACCACCCATTAAGTCAAACTTCCTGTTCATTCGTGTAAGAAACATCCGGACAAACAGGACAAGAACGCAGATGGATTAAGTGTTAATAAACGAACACTGTGGATTGACCAAACAAAATGGGTGAATCATGTCAACTAAGTAATGGTAAAGATACCCATCTAGTAGGGATATCTGAAACATAGGGATCTCAAACTACAGATCAGGAACTGGCAGCAGAGGGCATGTTTTTGTTTCGCAACAATAGGAAACCTGGAGGTGCAGGTGAGGAATCCGTAAACTATAATCCTGCTTGTAAACACATTAAGTGAACATTTGAATGTTTATGAATCTTGATGAATTCATATGGTGCACAATGTGATTGAATTACGCTTTTAGATGTCTAATGGGAGTCATCTACGGAAAACACGACGCGGAATCGAGTACATTAATTTAATGCTGGACAGATTATCCCGCTATCTGTGTTGCATTTTCAGATCTAGCTTTATCCTTTTTGCATGATGAGACCTGTTGCTACAGAAGTGACTGTTACACTGGCTGTTTTTGGCTACGCTTGTTGCTGTGCTCGGGATAGAAGAGCTAGTGAAGTCCTAATCATTCAGCCCCATCCAAGTTGCTATCGTACACCATGCTTCCACTGGGGTATGGAGATATTCATAATTCAGCCGATCGCCAGAAGAAAGAGAAAGTGGGGGGGTGAGCAGCCTTGTATGACACCAGTCCTCACTTGGACTGCGTCTATCTGCTGTCCTCCGTGAGTAATCGAATTCGTGGAAGATCACAATCAACGGAAGAATGTACGTATTTTGATACAGTTAATCAAACAAGTACAGTAAGACAATCCCTGGTACAATTGGCTATAATAAAAATTGTTTCCATTACACCAATCGCGTTCTCTTGATAAAAGTAGGTCACTACAATATCTTCATACCCGGTGTTGTCCATTCTGGCTTTGACGTTTAGGTATCCCATCACGATGGTCAAGTACTTTCCCGAGCACTTTGCTGACTGATTCCAGCCTCTTATAAAACTGGGTTTTATCGTCGTCGTCGCTATCATTGGTGAGAGCATAACATTGGATAAAATTCATTTTGATTCCCTTTTCTGCTTTAATGACTCTGGATCCAAGAGATTCCCATCCTATGAATACTTTACATACTTCCTAGGATAACATCAGAGCAAGTCCCTGAGCATGTGGAGAAGTTGCTTCTTCGTGGACCGAGCACAGCAACATTTCTCCCGAATCTCTCCTTTTCTTTCGTATTTGGCTCCAATAGGTTTCAGTTATTCCGGGCACCATCATGTTGTATCTTGTCATTTCCGTTGCTATCTCATTGATCCTCCAGGTCTCCCATATTATCTTGGCATTCCCTGTATCTATATTAATTGCTACTCTGTTTGATAGAAGGGGCATTGTCCTCATGGCTTCCGAAGAATCTCAGCTGTCATAATTCTAGCCTGAGCTCGGAGGGCACAGTCTAGATGGATGAATTTGTTTAATTTGGTCGGAATTTTTGGCGAGGCTGTTTTTACGGGATGGAGATACTGACTGTAAGATCCAAACTAAGGTTTGGACTGAAGAACAGCTGACTAGGTGGGTTAGATACGCGTCTTTGTCCGTTTGAAACCAAAACAAAGTAATTGGGTAAAATGACGGTTCTATAATTCATCATAAATTTAAATGTACAATATTACCTAAACAAATATGACCACTCAGCTATCCAACCAATAATTGTTCAACTGATCAAACCTAAATTACAATAAATAAGGAAGTTGATAAATGATGCGACAAAATTACCAATCACAACAAATAAATGCTATTCTATCCTGTCTGTATAGACCACGCACAGATTCGTTCAAAAGATAGTATTTGGTTGCTTTATAACACAGGCTGTTCCAATTCTGGAAGGGTGCCTCAATTCACAACCAAAAAGGCACAATTCCAGTCAGCTCAGGTAAAGCAATCAAAAGGAGGAATAAACCAATATAGCTGCCGCCAAGACTAAGTATAAAGTAAAACATCATAAGTGCAGTTCGTGAAGAAACATGGAGACTTAGTGAAGGCGTGATAAAAATAAAAGCTATAATAAAATACAATTATTAACAATTCAAATGTAATAAAAAAACAAACAATGTACAACTAAGGGGATCAATGGGAACAAAGTGCAAGTATTACACGGAGGGATTTTTACACACACACAAACATTCAAAACGGATCTTACACTGACCACATATCCACCCCTCCTAGTTTACCCGGCATGAGGACAGTCATTAACACTTGAAAAGCTACTAGATGAGTTACAGGAGGCTGTAATGGCAAACAAATCTATGAAACAAACAGTTCTTCATGTCTTTCACGTAAATTCTGAAGTCCTTCGCGTTACTCGTCACACCCTAACTGATGACGCTTGGTCGTGCGTCCGTGACAGATCACGAGTGGGTATACCGTACCTCTCGACTCTTGGAAGTACTAGTCAGCCTAAAACAAACGTTTTTCGACATATAAACAACTTCTTAAATGTAACTTTGAACTCCTTCACTTCTGACTTCTCAGTTGACTGGGTTGGTATTCTTTATTATAAAGGTGTTACGTGTGATAGAGTTGTCGAACTATGAATATTTGTGGCATCTTTAATACTTAGGTTCCTACCTGGAACCACTGGTGATTTCAAAGCTCGTTAAGCGATAACTTTTTCATCTACTCCAACAACTGTTTGAACCATTTAAACAAGGTCTGAGAGACCAGTAGATCTATTTAAATAAATCTCTTGACCTTGATTAGTCGACTCTTGATTTGACTCTCCGTCTTGCAGTGGGTTAAACTACCTGCTTCATTCAACTTCATTCTCAAGATTATCCTAATCTGAGGCTTTGGTTATTAGCCACTTGCTATTTATTGCTTTCTGTAGTAAATATAAGTGCATTTCGTACGCTTGCTTGCTCATCGACTCACTTTTTCTGTTGTGCTTCTCATATGTAGTCATCTTCACAGTACTCCGCATGCTCCCTTGGTACACAGAGTACCTTGTACTTTGTGCTACTGGGAAGTCGAAATACAACTTTCCTTGCTTCTAAGATTTTCTAAATTCCTGAACTGGTTTTTGGTCTACGAATTTGTATGTAACCCATACGAAAATATAGGTGTCTTTATTTCATCTTTCTGTAGGTCATGTAAATCCATGTCAGCTGAATACACAAAGTGTCTGTAGAATAACTTTACATCAACACTGCTAGACCTTCATGCTTTTCAGCGTATTATGTTATGTGTAGGTGTTTCAAACTATCCGGTAGTAGCGGCTTATGAGGCACCATTATTATTGTGAAGAACTTTGGATTGAAAACTAGCCTTCTCAGGTCGGGAAATGTTAGCTAACTAGGTAACACAGGTAGTTATCTTAGTTGTCAACTAAGGGCCTATGGAGTCATGTTTCCAGATGAGTAGCGAACAAAACACTCCTGACTCACAGTGGATATCTTTTTTTGATCTTCAGTTTTTACTCCGTTCATATCGTTTGGCTCCACAGTTATCGATTGGTCAGTTTCTGAGTCATTAATCAGATCAAAATGTTTCTTAAAATATTTTGCCTTGACTGAACTCCAATTTCTTCGAAGCACTTCGGTAAGATGCATCGAGTTATATTTTATATGAAGTTAGAAGTTGTAATTTAAACTATTTACTGGGAACAATGTCACAAAATCTAGCGAAAATGATTCGCAGGTGTAGTTTATTTAACCAGAATATCTATCCCACCTTATTTTGTAAGAAATTCGTGTTTCAGTGTAACGCCTACGAATGAAATTTATTAATGGTACTATTGTTATTATTGAAAATTATTTGCTCTAATATGCTATATTTTGCAATATTCTGTGTATATTTTTAGTGATCTATGTGGTCCATGCTGAAAGTCTAACGTTTATTTTTGTACTTTTTCTAAAAACAAACTGTATTCTTATGTTCCAGGACTATCTCTCATTTTGGTGGTCTCATGAACTAACTATCCAAATCACTTAGCATTGATCCTATGACACCCATCAACTGATGACAAACCAAGTTGTTTTGAAGTATGAAAAGCTAGAGAAAATTGGAGAAGGTGTGTACATTCTGTTTTAATGATGGTTGTATTACCCTGTAGGTACATATGGTAAAGTCTATAAAGCGAGAAACCGTGAGACACATGAAATTGTTGCACTTAAACGTGTCCGACTAGAAAATGACGATGAAGGTATTCCCAGTTCAGCTTTTCGAGAAATATGCCTCTTAAAAGAACTTAAACATAAAAACATTGTCAGGTGTTTGCTTATTTAGTTTATCAAGTAATGAAATTTTTAGACTTTTTGACGTCCTGTTAAGCGAGTCAAGACTAACAATTGTATTTGAATATTGTGATCAGGATTTGAAGAAATACTTCGACAGTTGTAATGGTGATATAGATCAGAATACTGTAAAGGTATCAAATAAATTGGTGTATATTTTAGATTTTGATTGTTTAAACATTGGTCGGAAGTTTGTTATTAGCTAACATAGGATTCAGCTCTGAGTAAAGACAGATTGTCTTCATTATACATGACCACTATATATATTGTGGAGGTTTTGGTGATGTCACTAACAAAACATACTTAGACAGTAGTCCATTATTTTATCTCTTAATTTCTGAAGACGGCATAGGAAAGTAATAGAGAAGTAAAATAATGGAAAATCTAATAGGATACGCAACTGAAAAGGATATTGGAATTTCCGTTTCATAAAGACAAATTTTTCACTTGTAACGGGTAGTAATTACTTTCTGACTTGCTTTTTGAATAAAGCAATAGAGAAACTTTTTAAATTATAGTCATATTCTTATAAAGAGTTGTTAAGTTTATTTTTCGTCTCATTGTCTAGATAATGAATAAAGCAGTAAATTTCATACGGTCTTTTGTCTCACTCCACACTTAAGATCCTAATCTTTAGTTTATTTCCTCGTTAAGCATTCCACTAAGTTATGCGGCGATAATTCCTCATGTGCTTTGTAATTTTCTCACTTGAGTCCCAAATTGATTTCCTTCATTCTCTAAAATTCCGGACACAGGTAGTTGATCAGTCTCAGAAACTCGTCATATGTCCCATATATCAATTTCAAATTCACGAGAATTCATGGTTTATATTGTTTTGTCAATCGTCTGTCGGCCATTGTACTATGTTTTAAAGAATAGTGGATCTTCCTGTTGTAATTTCTCTTATTGGGACCCAGTTATTTCTATCATTTGTTATTATTGGACACCAATTCACTCGACAAGTCCCCAAATCAGAACACAGTTGAACGGGAACGAAATTATATTCCAAATAACAAGGGTAGATGGAAGTGAGAAGTACAAAACGAAAAGCTTTAGTATATTTATAGTTTTTACATGAGAATATTCTAGAATCTTCTCTAAGCATACACCAACACAATCCTGCACGGAACGCGCTTTAATCCAATTTATTCCCAGCTACCACTATTAATGTATAGAGATGATATATTGTCAGTCCTTACATAAATGTACCTCAGGTTATTATATAATATGATTATACATTTAGTTACTGAGTTGTAGTTCACTAATATTTAAGCTGATTATTTACCGACTATTGTCAAGAAATCATGATTTTTGATTAGGGGCTAAACTTAATGCTAGTGTGGTCATATAGACTAAAAGACCATGAATTTGTTGTTGTAAATACAGACTCGTTGAATACTCTCAGTGTATGGGTACTGTAATAGGAATATTCTGGCTTTTATTTCTTAGATACCTTACCAGATCTGAAAATCCATCAGTAAGATATTAATGAATTGCTGATGAATATATATATTTTTTGTTATATCCCAATGAGTAGAAAAATAGTATTTCCAATGTTTCGTACCTTAATGTAAGCTACTTCTTTAGAGTAAATAAAACTTATTTGAAGCTATCAAGTCTAGCCTTGGTATTATTACATACAAACTCATTGATGGGTTACGTCTTAACTGCTTCACAACTAGAACTCAGAGTAGTTTGTCGGAATAAATGGTCAAGCATTTGGATGTTTTATGCTATCCAACTGGTAATAATAAACCACGGATTAAATCTGTGTGGAAAATAAATCTTTTCTATTCGATTTTAAGAAAATGATCGAGAAAGTATCTTAGAATCTTTGTGTTTCACATTTTCCAGCTTTTTATGTTCCAACTTCTACGTGGTCTTCAGTTTTGTCACAGTCACAACGTTTTACACCGAGACTTGAAGCCACAAAATCTACTGATCAATGATAATGGAGAGTTAAAGTTGGCTGATTTCGGTCTGGCTCGCGCATACGGAATACCCGTGCGACAATACTCAGCAGAAGTCAGTTTTGTCTACTTTAAAAAATATTTTCCAGTAGTTCTAACAAAGGACAAATTAAATTCACAATATTACCGTGTTTTATGTATAATTTGAACTTTTGGACACTATATCTTTGATACATATTTCACGTCATGACTTTCCATGGTTTTTAGTATTGGGATATGGAGTCATCCCTGTTTCCTTTTTACAATAAAATATAGACATTTTCTGTATGATAGCGGATTCGTTTAAGTATTCTATTCATTCGCATTACGTCATATAGCTAGTTAGCCTCTTGTTTCACAGTTCATCCGAACAATAAAGTATGTTTCATAAGTTTTTTTTCTTTAGGCTTGAGTACCAAAACTTAGTGCAAAAGAAGTCCAGCTGTAACCATGTTACAAGTATATAGATCAATACAAAAATAAGCTTTATTTATCTAAGATATTGCGTATCCTTGTTCTACTTTCCATGAGATGTTTCATTGTAAGAGTATCCTGCCAAATGACAACGTATTGCTTAATACGTCAAGATAAATGGTAAAAGATAGTTAAATTTCTCCAAATAACTTTTTCCTCTCCAGAATTCTTACGATATCACAGACAATTAGAGAATTAGTGGTTTTATACCGTCAGCTCACTTAACTACTATGTGCTCTCCTCCGGTTACTTCTGTTTAAGGACTGATTATCTTCTTTAGACAGTTGGCAACCATATTCAAATCAAGATTGGGTTATTAAGTAACTTATTTTCCTTACCTTGTCCTTAAAATACATTTAGTTTATACAGCATTTCCTTTGAGATACTAGTAGTACTCCTAAGACAGGAGTATCCAAATACTGACAGCTCGTGATTTTCTTTGAGTAAAATATGACGAAACCAAGCATATCTACATTGTATACTTCACCCTCATTTAGTATTTTTCGTTTTTGAATTACATGTACAGTGTGTTTGAAGTTTAATCCTGTCACTTATGTGGTCATCTAGGTGGACACAATCATCCACTTCAGTAAAGCAAATGTCATATTCAATCAATCCATCACACTGTCAAGGTAAATGTGTATGGAAACAGCTACTGGTCATTTTACACCTCAAAGACTCGAAATAACTGCCAGCATCTCTTGTTTTTCACTTCATATTTTTTATAGACTGTATCTGTACGGTTAGTTGATCTAGAAAACATTTATTTTTTGAATTATATCTTCACTTATACCAAGCATAGCAAAGTTGCATCTTCTGATTTCTGCGGCTAGCAGAATGACGTCTCTGATCTCTCACATTATTTGAATATTCCGTGTCCTTATGTGTATTGCTCACGTCTATCAATTATGGGGTGAGTATACTGCGCGGCAATTCGTTCTGTTCTAATTTACGGATGCGAAACATGGCCATTAAGAATAGGGGATACTCTTAAGTTACTAGTATTTGATCACAGGTATCTTAGAAATATTTCTCGTATCTGCTAGGATCACCGGGTAAGTAATAGTGAGGTTGGACACAGGGTATTAGGTAATGATGGTAAATCATTTGATGAGGTTGTAAATCTTCATCGACTGAGATAGTTGGGCTATATGTTACATATGCCTGAACACTGATTACTAGGACTCGCAATGCTGACCATTGCTAGAGACGGTTGGGAGAACGATAGGGGCGGCTAAACCAAAACGTGACATCAGTGCTTGAAGTCACTAACTTGTGGTCTGTGCCATGTTGGTAGGTGCAGACTACTTGGTTGGGGTCCGCGTGACTATCATAACCAATAGTTGGAGACTCTTGGTGACATAGCTCAGAATCGATCACAATGGCGTAGGTGTATACACTTTTTGTCTTCTCTTAAACCGTGAGATTAAAAGTACTATATATATTTCTTTCCATGAACTAATTCTTTCTTCCTTTATCATATCCTTATATGAAATTTTTTACTACCATTAAAGTAACTGCTTCTATGAATTCGGTGTTCATCTTGTGCCAACCTTACACCAACCTCTCCTTTACTTGGGTTTCAGACCACCGGTTGCTTCAGAGGACTTGCAGTCGGAGTTCCTTTGGATTTATTGGTTAATAAATGATTAAGCTTAACATTTCGAGATTGTATTTAGTCATCATATTTCCCTATAATTTTTTTATATACGTTAAAACTTGATTTGCTTGTTTTAAAACCTTCTAGGACTATGGCCTTAGCTTATTTCAGTGATTTCATTGGTGTCCCATTTTTCTTTTAGCGTAAATGATTCATGGAGCTTAATTGCTATTTTTTCATGAAAACAACTTTCCTTTGATTTTTTATCTTTTTCCGATAATAAATTATCTAGTTAACTTTCGCATCTATTTTCATTAACTAACTGTTGTTTTAGGAGTGTTTTATTCTCGAATACTTTGGGGTTACTTTTAGTTACTCGATCTTTTTTTTTACTGCTTTCTAATCATTTCATGTGCAGATATGTTATAATTATTGCAGAAAGTTTATTCTTGAACTAACAGTTATCATTAATTTTTTCGAAGTTTTAATTTTAATTGTTTTATCCCATTTTCCTTCATCATGTCAAAAAAGTCCTGTGATACTTAAGAATAAATTCGTTCCTTCTTTAATTACCAAATGGCAAATTCTTTTCAGTTCCACCACGTGTTTCTGTAAATAGTTCATATTTGCTACTGAACTGTTACTGAAAGATTTATTTAATCTAAATTTCAACGAGTTGAAAAGGATAAGGTTTCAGGTCGTTTTTTTGAAACTACACAGGTTTTGTCAACTCACAGTTTCTCGAAATAACTTTGTGGATATAACTTTTAGTTAAGTAAGTAAATTCATTATCTTTCTAAATTGTTGGTCAGTTCCTCGATTTGGCAAACAAATAATATTTTCCTGTCTCAGTTCTTCGGTGATCAATCATAATTTCTAGAGTTTGAATGAGAGTTGTACAGTTTTGAAATGTGAACCCATAATCTAAATAAACCATCGTTTGACCTTAATAACAATGATTATTTATCTATTATCATTTTCCAACGGTTTCACCATTTGACTCAAATGTGTTTCATGTCGAAATTCAAATATTCAAAATAAATACATTGCTACTTTCAGTATCAAGAGGTTTCTTTTTTTCTAAAAGTTGAATTTTAAACAACTTCCGGGGTTTTCTCTCTTAGGTTGTCACACTCTGGTATCGACCACCAGATGTTCTTCTTGGAGCTAAATTATACACAACTTCAATTGATATGTGGTCAGCTGGTTGTATTTTCGCTGAAATGTCCAATGCTGGAAGACCACTTTTTCCTGGTTATGATGTTGATGATCAATTGCAGAGAATTTTTAAGTAAGGATAGAGAAATGAAATTATGTTTTTGTTCAATATGTAGTAACTTTCATTCATTCCTGGATTTTTTTAAGTGTGGAATTCATTCAGAATTTTCACCTTATTTTTGGAATTAGTTATTATTAAAACTCAACATAATTTTGTGCTTATTATTAAAATGAAGGTTTGGTCTTGTTGTTTTCATAATTAAAGCATGTTACATGTGGGACCAAAGTCATTTGCAACCAGAAACTTTAAAGAGTTTTTCGTGAGTTGGATTGGCTCACTTTCAACAATCAGATGGTAGAGAAGATTTGTAGCTCAGGTGGATGTTAATTAAACTTGATCTAATAATTAATAATGTGATTCAATTAAAAATTCTTTGATATTAAATATTAGTGATATCAATATTAAAATCAAAAACTTCATAAATTTTCTCATTATGATCCATAGAAGTATATGTTCAGCTAAAATCTAAGTCTTCATACCACTTATCTTGAACTGTTCAACAACAGTTATAACATTAAATAATATTTAGTCATTTAATCAACTAGTCCCGTAGTAGTAGTAGTAATCAACTGATTAGCAAACAAAAATGTTTTTCAATAGTTGGAATCATGATTCGATTGAAGCTAGACCACCATGGAAAACCTGGAAGCACTGGACGGCCGTTTCATCCTATTGTTAGACTCCCCAGTAGTGCTCATTCACTATGCCGCCCTGCGAGATTCGAATTCAGGACCAACTAATCCATGAAATTGAGTGACACATCCACCAATGTTTACAGTGAGTTACTATCTGACCTTCCAGTGCTTTCAGGTTTTCCATGGTTGTCTAGCTTCAATCGACTCATGATTTCAACCATTGGAATTACTAAAATCTCCACAAAACACCTAATAAAAATGTTTTTAATGATAAAGCTGAGTGTAAATACTTGTTTTAATTAAGGTTGTCATATTTATAAATTACATCTTCATTATTGTATTGATTTGGTTAGTCGTGTGTAAACGATTCTTTCCTTTCAATTATTTCCACTCTGCTATTGGTTTTTATTATAGATTCAATGAAAGATCTCGTTAGTCTTATTTATTTTTGATGAAAATATTGTTTTATTTCCTCCCCTACCAGTGTTACATAAAATCTTACATGTGAGTATGTAGTTTACTGCTTACTCTTAACATTTCTTATTGGTCTATTTACATTTCATGGTTTTATTTTGATTAATTTTATTTAATCAGGTTATTAGGAACTCCGACTGAATCAACTTGGCCATCTGTTGTTGAATTACCCGACTATGAAGTAAGTAATACATGACTTTTCTAAAATAATAATTGTCTTTCTCTATCAAAACATATAATCATTCAACTACAACCTTAACTATTCATCGGAGTTATTAAATTGGAACATATTTACTATTAGACGTTAAAGATGTACGAGTCAATGTTTTGATGTATTAATGAGTGGATTACACCAACGCCAATATATACACGCAGATTATGTATTTTGACTAGAACTTTGACTATGTCCTGATATTGTTCTATTTCTTGTGCAATGAAACTGCAAAACTTAGATTTAGTACAAGTTTCTTGTATAAACAAATCAAACGTTAGGTATTTGACATATATTTTTCACCAACTGATCACTTCATGTTTTGAAACATGAAATTAAAGCCCTTTTTATCTGACGAATATATATATATATATATATATATATATATATATATATATATATATATATATATATTTGAAAAAGAATAAATGGTATACGCATACATAATAATTCCAAAGTATATGATTTGACTGTTTGGTTTTTCATCCTGATAAATCGTTATTCCTTATAATATTTACAATAATTCTGATAATGATTTCTCATTCATTTGAAGATTCTATTTTAATCTTTAAGATTAACAGAAACCACGGCATTTAGGTTAAAATGTAACTTTTTTATTCAGAAAAAAACCCAGTACATAATCTTCAACTATCTTGGCAACAGAAACAAACACCGTGTAATAACTTCCTTTCTATTTTAACTGTGATTACAATTCATTGAATTTAATTTTAGAATTTAATTTTCATATCTTCCTAAGACAAAGGATTTGTCTTAAAGAATAACAAAATTCTCTGTATTATTACAGAATTATCAGTCTAATTATTTGCATGAAGTCTCTTCAAAACTTAGAAATATATTTACAATCTTGCCTTTTAAGTAATTTATTAATCTTTAATATAAAGTGAAAATTTTCATTTCATTATTTCAAAACAGAATAAAAGTATAACGAATAAATATTTCTTTTCAGTTAGATTGCAATATTCATTCACTTTGTTTGTTTTGTTCTTGAGTAAAATATTCTTACCTTTGATTTTTATGTTTAATTTCAAACTAATTAAACTAATTAGTTTGTTTGAAATTAATTTAAAATCAACAAAATACTATAATTATTGTCAAAATAGGGTTTGTGGAGATTGTAGTAATTTAATAGTTGAATTAATGAGTCGATTTAAGCTAGACCACCATTAAAAACTTCGAAACTCTGGACGGCCGTTTCGTCCTAGTATGGGACTCCTCTCAGCAGTGCGTACCCACAGTTCCGTACGCAAGATTCGAACCCAAGACCAACGGTGTTAATGTCTAACATCAACCAATCCACGATGCAGACTTAGTGGTTTAGAGGTTAGGCTTTCTCGTACGAGACCGAAGACCCTGGGTTCGAGTCTCGCGTTCGGAATCGTGGGTGCGCACTGGTGAGAGGAGTTTCATACTAGGACGAAACGGCCGTCCAGAGTTTCGAGGTTTTTAATGGTGGTCTAGCTTAAATCGACTCATGAATTCAACTCTAAAATACTATGAATTCATTGTATTTTGCTAACATCATCAATTTTACATTGTGTAAATTTGATAAGAAAACTCCTTGTACACGTCAACTTTATTGTTCTTAACTGGCTAATGCAACATGTTAAAAAGTGTTTTCCTAGTTTATGCCTTAAACACCATGTTACAATGTGATTATAAAGGCAATATGTAATGACAGGACAAGGTAACTGTAATAATTGAAGTAATTATTTATCAAAGTTATAAACATATTGATCAACAGTTGCCAAACTGAATTATATCTAATAATAAAAGGTATTTTCGAAGTCAATTTATTAATGTTTACGTACGAATAAAGAATAAAATATTGGAATTGTGTAAGTGCACAAAAATGAAAGAAATTTAGAAAATTTGAGAAATTAAGCTTACTTGCTCTTGTATGACCTGTCATTTGGACAAGACAAAAAGTAGGGTTGTATAAACTTCATTCTTGTCGAGAATACTACGTATATATTCAGTTAATCTTTCTTTTTTTATTATAAAGCGAGTCGCTTTAGCACGAGTCAGGATATTTATCAAGCTCTACTTATATTTGATTGGTACAGAACTATAGAAATGAGTATATTTGTGTAATTGCACGATCTCTATGTATATTTGCTTTTAATGTTACATCTAATTGTTTTGTTAATCAAATATCTAGAAATGTTATGCTATTATTCCATGCTTCTTCAGAGGTAAATGCTATTGAAAATGTTAAGCATATTGTCTTTATTAGTTTTCTTTTCACAGTATAAGTGTATCTTTTATACAAAGACAGTGGAATTTTTATTGAATTATTGTCTATAAGAGGTCCATTTTTCATTTTTCCAAGAGGAAATTTTGTCAGGAAACGGGATCAAGCGATGATCTAATAGCTACGTCTTTTCTTTGTTTATAGAGTTCATTGTTAAATCGAAAGTTGGCGTCTGTCGTACACATAAGAATGAACTCTTATTATACAAACAAGAACTAAGGTTTTTATGTTTCTGTCTACTAGTTTACCGTAAATAAAATTCAGTTTCTAGTGTAGAAAATTAGGAAATTGAAGCGATAGATTTAATGCTCGGAAAAAGTTGTTTCTAATCACCAGTTCTTTTTAAATATTATCAATAAATTTACGGGGGGTTTCCACATTGCTATTAAAAGCTTCTTTGAACGGTTTGAGAATTTGTATGGAATTATTCGTATCTAAAACAGGTCGAAAGGATGTTTATTTTTATTTATTTATTTATTTGAACACATAAATATTGGTACAAGGGAGCACCAAATATATATGCGCCACACCAAACAATGAGAATGGGAAGAGAAAAAAAAGAAGGTAAGGAGCGTAAAAGAAAAAAAAGAAGAGGAACAATAACGACCAGATTAGTGTAATGAAGTGTAATAATAATAATGGGGAATCGGAAAGGTACAATCAGAAGAAATCTTTCACTTAAGGAAGAAACAACCATTTTTTATGAAAGTAAAAGAAGGTTACAGCAGGATCGCCACTGGCTTCTATTCTGAGCCGTATCTGATAACGTCTCTAGCCACTGTGTTGCACCATCTCTAGGACCCCAGTCAGGGAGTCGTGGAGGACCAACAGAAGCCAGCCATTTGCAGCTTTCTTTCATACTCCGACACCATGTCATACACTGACCACCTCTCCGCTTTTTCCAACCAGTCCCAGAGTCGGCAAATAGTGCACGACGTGGAGTTCTCTTGTACGACATTCGTAGAACATGTCCAAGCCACCGAAGTCGATGTTTCAAGATGGTGACATCGATTGCATTATCGTCTCTGTGCCCGAACACACGATGCGAAACATCTGCATTACTAACATGGTGTTGCCACTGGATGTCGGCAATCCTTCGGAGACAGCGATGATCGAACACAGAGAGTCGTCTAATGTATGCAATTTAGACAAGCCAAGTATCCTCAGCGTTATCGTTCATTTAGATCTCAACATTTATTTGTCCTATCTATTTTATTTTATTTTACAAAATGTCTAAATGAGAACTTTCATTATACTAAATTCCATCTTATTGTGTTCACATGACATGTTAAGTACTAGTTCGATACTTTGGAAGTATAACATCTAACTCTTCCAATCTCAACTTGTATTTATAACGGTTAACTTCTTTTCTTTTATCAAAGGAAGTTATCTTACATTTTGGTAGTAAAAAATTTCATACAAAAAATGCGTATTTAACATGAATATACAAGAATTTTTACACATGGTGATAACCAGTTTTATATCCATTATGCTTTCCACAATTTTGTGTGCAATAATACTAACAATTATTATTATTATTATTAATATTATTATTATTATTATTATTATTATTATTATTTAATGTTGACTAAGAAAATGGAGTTGCTAGAATTGGTTTAACATCTAGAATAATTTTCAAAAAAATATTTATGACAATATTGAATAGACAATATGTATCTTTAATTATTTATTAATTATTATTTATTCAAGGGAAAAGATGAACCTGATCATTTCGTACATAGTTCAAATATCTACAACTATACGATAGTAATGTATCAGTAATTCATTGTTGAATAATGTTACTAGGTATCATTTAATTTATTTATTACATTATCTTTATTGATCTATTAGCCATTTACTATGATGTATCCTCGTACAATGAATTGGCATCAAGTTGTTCCGAAAATGTCATTTCGTGGTCGTGATTTATTACAAGTAGGTGAAAATGTTTTATTCTGTATTGTTTTATATGTGTAACTTTTTGAATGGATTATTTTGTTTTCTATACTATATTTAGTAAGTTTTTAAATTATAGCTAGATTCAGGACAGGATGCACGTTTCTCCAGGTAAATGTAACTGTATCTAGGTGTTGAAGTTCACAGTCTGACTCAATTCCAGTACACCTATCTCTTCAAATTTCAACATGTTATTCAATAAGCTGTTTGCTCCTCATAGCCACTAGCTTATTCAACTAGCACAAAGTTATTCGTAATGTTTGTTACTTTCTCAGAATTGATATTCAAAACTTCCAACTTAGACGAGACACACATCCTGGATTCCACTGTTAGCGACAACTCGATAGTAAACAAACCCGTGTAGCTGCAAGTAATCTCTAGGCGTCGACTCTAGTTTACCATATACCAACAAAGAGTGATCAAATACAGTCGTCAATATCAAAATACCAAAACTTATAAATTAATGCTAATGGATCTACCATTTTTTTATTTTGTATATAGTCTTATGGATTTTTATCATTTAGTGTTATAAATTCTAACCAATAAGAATATGATCCTTAAAGATCGGGGGGTAATACGTAGGTAAGTTTCATTGACAAGTGTTGTTAGTTGATGATACATTGAAAAACGGGGAGAGGTGAACAAATGTCACATCATCATCTTGGACTCATCAGCAGTCCACGATCCTTCATGAAATCGAACCGAGAACCTTCAGTTCCCATGCATAGCCTGTTGCCAATTCGACCATTGAGTCATCATTGAGCCGTCCATATTACAGTTCAGAATATCATCACATCCTGTATCCGATCTTATTGGTGTTTTACTATTTGACCAGATAGTAACTAAATAATTTTATATATCTATAAACATTTATCAGGAAGCTATTTTGTAATCTGGATGCTTCAGTTGCTTACATGTAACTGAATACCTTTCTAGTGGTTTCAAATCCGTATCCAATAGGTTCGTTACCACCACTTTGATATTTCAGCAGCTACTAACACCAGTAAGTTCTTAATATGGTCCAATGAATTAATACAGTGATGACGAGCGTGTTATACTGAATAACATGAATTGAAAACATCATCATTGTCTCTCACTGTTATGATTTTTGCCCAGTTAATTATATCACGTGATTAATTCTACTAATTAGAACACCGATTGATATGACCAGACCAGTGACTCATAAACCAGTATAAGCAGCCTAAAGTCAATCTCTGAGTTCTGATTGAACCTTCCGCCTGGCCGTGTTTGTCTGAGTCCAGAACACAGCTTCTGCTGTATGAGTCATATCTTTCAGATATACTTGGTTTATATACAAACAAACCTGACCATATCATACCATAAAATGGAAAATAACAACCACACAAGATCAAACCAAAAAGTGACTGTGATTATGAGAAGTTTCAACTAATAAATTGGGAATAACTTAAGATTAGTAAATCATAGAATAGTAGATAATAGATCAAATGGAAGCTTATATATATATATATATATATATATATATATATATATATATATATATATATATATATATATATATATAACACCCACCTTCATATCTTGCATCATAATAAGCCGCAGAAACATTTTAATACAACATTCAGATGTTAATTGTAAAGAGTAATTTTTTAATCAAAAAGCAAACATGAGAATTATAATAGAAAAAAAGGTTGGATAATGTAAGTTGGTTGGTTCAATAACAGAATACGAATAATTTGTTCGTTAGGATTACTGAAACTGTGTAAGTGTATGAAATCAATGAGGACTTTTATTTCATTGACCAGAAACATAAATATTGGTATTTTATTAAATTATTTTTCATCCGGAAACTAATTACATTTCAGTATTGAATCGATAATGAAGGTCTAAGTATAAAATTTTCTAAAATCAAGTAACAAATATATGTATATTTAATTTTTAAAATCTTTGTTCAAATCAAATTCGGTCACTACATTTGTGTAGGGAAAATATGTGTATACATTGAAAATAAACTATTCTGTGCGAACCTGCAACATTTGATGAACCATTAATGACTATGCTTCAGCATCAACAATTATGATTGAATTTCAAACTATGCACTAGTGATTTTGACCTAGATAACTATATAGATCTTTATTTGGTACAAAGACTTAAATGTTGATGCATTTGAAATTCATTTGGAGTTAAACTATATCGTATTGAAGTCATAAACTTAATTGAAAAAAACACAACAACAACAACTCCTTGGTTAGTTTCCAATATTTCTATAACTTATGTCATTTATTAGTGAATATTACTTTTTTGTTCACATAGCAAATTTTGAATTGTATTTAATAATTCTTATTTCATATTCTTTATATTTTTTTCTTTTTTTCTTTTCCTTCGTTTGTTTACAAATTAGCAACTTGTTGTTTGTAATCCATCTGATCGAATATCAGCTGATCAAGCATTAAAACATTCATATTTTGAGAGTATTCTGTGATATTAATTTTAATTGAACAAAACAAACATGAATCAATAAATTTTGTTTTTCTTTTTTCGAAAAAAAATTCAAATCAATTTGAAAATGAGAGGGAAAAAATAAAAATTTAAAAGAAATCAAACAAAAGTTTGTCGATTGAATATTTACATGTAGAATGGAATAATAAAATCCTAGAATCTTCTTCCGAAAAAGTTCAATATTCTCAACATTGATTATTGATTTTTTTGGTTAGATAACTTTTGTATAGATTAAAATCAAACAAGTTATTTGGGTTGTAATATTATTGGTCTAGTGATGGGATTCCCTTACTCGACGGAATTATTTGAAACTTGGCAATACTATATATATATATATATATATATATATATATATATATATATATATATATATATATATATATATATATATATATATATAATTTCTTAGAATAGAAGTTGAGTTGGCGAGACTCTTATTTAGGGACGACCTTTGAACGAATCTTAAATGACCTTGACAATTATTAGCCAATCAGGAGACAATAACTATAAAGTGAAAATATATTGTAAGTATGTAATGAATTACAGTGGATATTCCTCTTTTACACGATTTAAAAACTTGTTAAGGTTTGATAAAGGTTCACAGGTTCTAAATTCATAATGCATATGTCATAGAAACTCGTCCATACGATTAGGGTTGTAGCATCTCAATAAACACCCCTTCTATAAAATCCGAAGTAAACCGATCGATGTTAACACCCTAACCTAACCTTAACCCTAATCTTAAACCTAACCCTAATCTTAACCCTAACCTAATACTAAACCCTAACCCAATCCTAACCTTAACTCCAACTTAACCCTAACCTAATCCTAGACCCTAACCCAATCCTAACCTTAACTCTAACCTAACCTCAACCCTAATCTTAAACCTAACCCTAAACACTAACATCGTCAAGGTTTGATAAAGGTTCAGAGGTTCTGAATTCATAATGCATATAGTATAGAAACTCGTTCATACGATTAGGGTTTAGGTTAAGGTTGTAGCATCTCAATAAACCTAACCTTAACCCTAAACTAACCCTAGCCTCTAACCCTATGGACGAGTTTCTATACCATACGCATTATGAATTCAGAACTTCTGAGCCTTTATCAAACCTTAACAAGTTTTTAAATCAGGTAAAAGAAGAATATCTACTGTAATTCATTACTTTCTTGTTATATATTTTCACTTAATATTGTCTTCTGATTGGCTAATAATTGAAATTGCTCAAACGCTTCTGATTGGCTCGTCCCCAAATTAGAGTCTCGCCGTCCCATCTGTTGAAACCTCTCATTAATCACTTACTCTCTAAAATCCGCTATGAACCGATCGTATGTTAGCGTCGCGTGTTGAACTTGGCTCCATGACCTTGAAATCGCTCAAACGCTTCTGATTGGCTCGTCCCTAAATTAGAGTCTCGCCGTTGAGTTCATTTGAATACCGCAAACAAGGTCTATTTGAATCAAAAGACTGTCTCGGCTACTCAGAAATATTTATATTTATGTATACATAAAATATATATGGTTCTAAATAAATCTTAATAAATAAAGTTTACATTCAAGGCGATAAAACAATATCTCTTAATTGTAAACCAGTCACACGTAAAACTGTTGAGTTCACAGTAGCTAAATATGTAAGATACGTATCAACTAATCAGAGCATAAATAATCTGTCGATAATTCATTTAGCCAATGAAATAGAAAAGGGAATGAATGCTCCTAACTAAAAAAGCACATCCATATGACAAGGATTTAACACATTCAACTGAGATAAAGAGTCGGGAAGTATTTTCCATAAAATGTTTATCTGCCTTAAACACACTGGCACCAGAAGCCCGGTCACCAACCAGGAATCTAGGACGCTTCAACCCGCCCACCTTTCACATCACCGACAAACACCACTATGTCGCAGACCTATCACCACACTTTACCACTACATCATCCCACTGCCACATCATCTTAAATAACCCCATCACATTCACTTGCACATATCAGTCATGGAAATATGCCGAGAGCAGGGCAACATGTTGCAAATACTCGAGTGTCTGGATCACAGTCGCTTACACCTGAACAACAATATTGCGTGTGCGTTTAAGTAAATCAACACATAAATAAATGTAAAATATCCTCTTTTCAATAAGTCATCGTTTGCAGTTACAAATTACCGAATATATGACTCAAACACAACTAGTCTTCAATTCATAGTATATCACATTATGATTGTTACCAATACCATTAAAGTTAACAGGCATAAAAACGAAGTCAATGATAAATCATAAGAACTATTCGACTACCTCTACCATTCATTACCTACCCTCACTAACTTATATATCATTAATTTCACCACTCTTATTCACTCGCTACGAGCCAACTAGACACATTTACCACTAACTAGCACATGGATTACACGCCTGTCATCAATTAACTTACGTATAACAAATTTATTATCAAGTCAAATCAAGTCACATTAACAAAACAAAACAAAACAAAACACTTACAGTGTACACGATTTCCTCACTACATCTCCAGTAGTACTGATTAGTAATGCAATTATGTCACATACCCACACATAGTAGCTACATATTAATATATTTATATATATATATACATATACATTTATATAAATACAAATAAAAATGCACATTTCACTCACACTAAACCTACCTAACCATGATGTACAGTTTATTTCATTTACATAGAAATCTGCCCAGCCACAGTTACTACTGCTTCAAGCCACATTCCAGTCATTTACTCAACTAAATGTGTTCTGATATTCAGAAAAATATCCCAAAATCTATTCTGTTATGTCTTATACTATTTTTGAACGTGAAATGGTATCAGTTTCTTATTGATCAATATTTATTTCAAATGTCATTTTTCTATTGGTTAATATTTATGGTAGTATTAACTGCATAAATAGGCATTTGTCTGTAATGTTTCATTCCCATTCTTATTCTTATTCTACTCTTGATCCAGTAGACAATTTTCATCTACGGTTCGTGTTCTGATATATTAGAGATTGAGAACAGTAATGGGGGTCTTCGTGATGTTTGAATGAAGTAATGATACCTTTGTACTTGTTGAATACTTGATTTCGAATTCTAAATACAGTACATTCGTTTGTGTTTATATAGTACTTCTTGATCTGATTGCGTTATTTCTGAGATTCTCAGTTCGTACTGTAGCGTTAAATAAATCCCCAAAATAAATAGCTCTGTAGGTTTTCGACATTGGATGCCGACCATATGTTTTAGTAGACTCATCTAGCTGAAGGCGCTCGGTCATGCATCTGTACCAGATCACGTGTGGTAACGTTGTGCTCAACATCTACCGCAATCGCTAGCCAGATTAGATCAGAGAATTCCGATATATTGGTTATCACCAAATACACTCTTCCGATCTCCTCGACTCTGTCTTTTGATTTCTCTCGGTGGGTACAAATTATAATAGAAGGTGTTGCTGGTGAAAGCGTTGACAAACACTGAATACTTGTATCATCTTCATTGGTGAGACCGACGTGATCTGGTACACCTAATTGCAATTGTGAGTCTGTTCCTTTTTGGGATTTTTATATATCATTGACTTATTTTTATATTTTGTAAACATTGTGATTTTTTTTCGTGTTTTTTCTTATATATATATATATATATATATATATATATATATTCCCCTCGTTCATTATCGTACTTCATATTTCATCATGACTGAACAGACACGCAAAGTACTCAAGCTTAAGACTTTGTCTCCGCCTTCGTTTCAACTGATGACTTTCTGGCCCGACAATATCGAAGCCTGGTTCTGCTACGCAGAAGCCGACTTCTCCGAGCACGACATGAACGACACACGAGCGCAATTCCTCGCAGTAGTCAAGGCACTACCGCGCGAATTCAACAGGTACGTCACACCTAGTATGTTTACTAGTGATGTTCCGGAACCGTACCAAACCTTAAAACGTTTGATTTTTAAACGAGGAGACCTAACCGATCGATAAAGGTTAGATCAACTCTTTAATAACATAGACCTGCAACACGGTTCTGCGATGGACATGTTGCAAAGAATGAGAGAAGTGATAGGCCTAGGAACTTTCGACGAAAGTCTATTCAAACAACATTTCTTGTCTAAACTTCCCCAACAGGTGCAAGCGGTTCTGGTCTCGTTTCAAAACAACGCCTTAGACGAACTGGCTGCATCTGCCGATCGTATCTTAGAAATTACGAAATCTTCTAATACAGAGGTTTTTCAGTCAAAGAAAAGCCTCACACGACTCAGAATGACATAACTGAGTTATGTCATACACTCACGCGTTATCTTAATCTTCGTAATGACCGTAATCGCTCACACAGCCCACGTAGAAGCATTTCACGCAAGCAATCTGTCTCTAGAACACGAGAGACGGATAACCCTGACTGGTGCTGATATCATAGCCAGAATGGAAAGTCTTCCAGAAATTGCAGAAAACCCTGCAATTTTCCCAATACGAAACCGACTGACTCGAAAAACAACTCGGGAACCTTCCAAGCCGGCACGCGTTAACGGCAACCGTAGCCGGCGAACATAGCCGTCTGTTATACGTCACAGATGTGACAACGAGAGTTCGCTACCTCGTCGACACTGGCGCAGAAGTTAGCGTTCTCCCAGCAAATCATAACGACCGGCTTCACGAATCAACTCTTAACTTACAGGCGGTAAACGGAAAACCTACCGCTACGTATGGCAAAATGTACGTTTACGTTAACGTGGGTTTACGCAAACGCATTCACTGGATCTTCGTTGTTGCAGATGTTTCTATGCCAATCATTGGTATGAACCTTCTACAACACCATAATCTAATCATCGATACGCGCAAATGAAGGCTAGTAGACGGAAACACTAATTTATCCGATTGCGTAACTTCTTGTTCTGGTTGCAGATTATCTCCAGTCACAATTAAGCATACGGTAAACCCACTTTATTAACCACTACTCGATAAGTATCCTGGGATTCATCAACCAAAATTACCGTGTGTAACCAGCAACGTTAGACATCACATCACGACTACAGGACCACCTGTATTCTCTAAAGCACGACGACTAGCTCCTGAAAAGCTAAGGTTAGCAAAAAACGAGTTCGATCACATGATAGTCTGAGGAATCATACGACCGTCAAACAACCCTTATTCATCTCCGTCGCACATGGTCCCTAAAAAGGACAGCAACGATTGGCGTCTGACTGGTGACTATCAGCGATTGAATGCGAAAACCATTCGCGATC